GAGTCAAATGAAGTATTTCAAGAATTCTTACCAAGTAAAAATTTTCTTACTCCATTGGCAGAAATTTTTTTTACTTTATTTGAGTCAAATTTTCAGGCTAACAAGACAAATAATCTTACACATTCTGAAAACAAGATGATTATTCTTACACAATCAGTTCTTGTTTAGTAAATCAGTCTCAAAACAAGATCAAAAAGACTTTTTGGCTGATATAAGGTTTTAAAACTTTGTTAGGTGGACATTTTTTGCAGTGGAAAGTTGCCAACAAATTTATCATGTCTGTGCTTGAATTTTAAAAGCTTGTAATAAATGAGTATTCTATTATTTTAAATGTAATTTTTGTCCAACCAGTTGTGCAGACTCTAGCACACAACTCGACGGCCACTCTCTCGGTTATCAAGGACTACCTCATCAGTAAGATGCAGAGAGAAAGCCAGCAGATAGAGGATGACGAACGTAAAATCTGCCAGTACCGGGAGGAGACGGCTCATGTCCGCTCTGAGATCCAGGAGCTGAAAACCAGGTGAGCGAGCATCAATGTTACTGTGGCTCGCCCCGTGTCTTCCTGCTGCTCAGACCTGCAGGTGTCTCATGGCCCATCTTGATTTCTACGCAGCGCCAAGATCTTTCAGAAGACTAAATGCAGCATGTGCAACAGTCCCTTGGAGCTTCCATCAGTTCACTTCCTGTGCAGCCACTCCTTCCACCAGCACTGCTTCGAAAGCTACTCAGAGAGCGAGGCCGAGTGTCCAACCTGCACGCCAGAAAACCGTAAAGTCATCGATATGCTGCGTGCTCAAGACCAGAAACGTGACCTTCATGATCTTTTCAACCGACAGGTAAAAACACACATGACCTGCCACCTGCTGTGCTTACATTAGCTTCATATAAAATGTGTTTAAAAGCTGCAGACTGAGAGTTTCTTGTCCTTTTTTTCCGTTCCCAGCTGCACAGCTCTAATGACGGCTTCTCGGTTGTGGCGGACTACTTTGGTCGAGGAGTATTTAACAAACTCACTTTGGTCACAGACCCTCCTGGTAACAAAGCTATTGGGGGTCTGGAAGCCAACCTACAGCGAGACCTTCTTACCCAGAAGAAGAGAAACGGTTAGAAGTGTCAGAGACTGGTTCTGSTTTGTCGTTAGATGACACTTAATTTGACAGCTGCTAGTGTCTGTGGTGCGCCTTGTTGTGTAAATGTTACATTTGGCTGTGTATAAAATCAATATTAAATATCACAGTGTTAAACTAATGATTCATGGAATAAATACAGTCAATCCTAATAAACTGAATGATTCAAATAACCAGTGTTTATTGTTGTTGCACAGGCTGYATTTTACAACAAACCTCAGTGTTCATGTTCCTCATGGTGCTGATGGGGTCGACCTGTGTYAAATAACAGAAGTAGCAATAAAGTTTCTTTTTTTACTGGCTAACTGCCAAGAAATGTTTTGAGGAAGCCTCACTGGTGGGCCGTACCACGTGACTGATTCAGGACCTGGCTCAGCTGAACGTGTAAGATTTAACAGAGGCAGCGAAACGCTGCTGAATCTCCTGTAACATCATGTTGTCATGAAATTGTACTGCGTGCATTTAACTTGTTCAGCTGA